TGGGCAGACCCGTGTGTTCCAGGACTCCTAGAAACATACTCTGCAGAACAAAGATGATTCCTTTAGTGAGCACCTGCTGTGTGTATGGCTCCAGGCACATCCCCGACATGAACTCTCCTCCTTACACTTACCCTACAAAGTAAGGCTCTGATCCCATTTCCAGTTGAGGATGTTGAGACTCAGAGAGCCCGTAAGACTTGCCCATGCTCTTTTTGAACTACTGCATTGCGTGCTTGCATGCTGAAACCATGCTTGCTGGCTGAGCAGCAAGGGAGATATGTACCACAGAGTATCAGGGGTCAGAAAGTAGGTGGGCGTGCCAAGCAGCTGGGGACATTGCAGCCTGAAGAAAAGTCCAACCACTCCATGGGGCTGCTCTGGTCACAATGGTGCCTTTTAAATCAGAGGGCGGGGAGCAGGAGTGGGATATTGGTTGAATTTTCACAGCTAGTGCATGGTCATGCCTTACTTGAGTGAATAAAGATGAACAGCTTTTTGTAAGAGAAAACTGCTTAAAATACATGAGTGTTTGGCCAGGCATGGCGGTTCGCACCTATAATCCCAGCACTTTGGGAGGTCCAGGTGGGAGGACAACTCGGGCCCAGGAGTCCAAGACCAGCCTACTTACCATAGCGAGACTTCGTCTCTATAAAAAATAATAATAAATACATGGATGTGCCAATTCTGCAGATAAAGGGGGTCTTTGTGCCAGACACGGCAGGAAAGGAACATGCAGGCAATACTCGGTGGGCGGCTTTATTCTTCCTGCTCATCCTAAACCTGGTCTTGTGACAAGTAGAGAAACCAAAAGTTCTTGGAGAAGCCCTTTCACAGGATGTGGCTGGCTCTGAAGTCTGGCCGAAGGAAGTGCAAGTTGAGCTCACACCAGCAGCACCCGGTAGTTTCCTAGGCTGTGGGGGCACTGCCCAGGGCACAACAGGCCCCCTGCCTCCTTTGGGGTCCGTGACATCAGTGTTTCCTTGCTCTAGAAGCTCCATAAGAAGAGAGGTGGGGTCCCCTCTGACTCTGAGCATTGACTCGTCTCATCACCACTGTCCTCTGCGCCCTGCCCGTTCCAGCTCTCACCATACCAGTCTGATGAGGACGTCCCTGTCCCTGTCCACAGCTCCCTGGTGCCTAGATGGTGCCTGGTCTGTTTAGATGCCCAAATGTTGCAGTGCTCTGCTGAATCACTGCCCATACATGCCTTTACATACAGAACACTGCCGGCACTCACTCCCACACACAGGTACACCCCTAAGCTGGGCAGGGTCCCGGCTGGACCCGGCTGAGGCCTGCCTGGTCTGGGCAAACTGGTGTGGCAGGACCTCCAGAAGACCTGGGAGCCTCTGGCAGAGAAGGCATTGTAAGCGAGTGGGAGCCATGCTTATTAAAATTGCTCACATGACGTACCCAGTTCCCACCAGGACATCGGGGAGGACAGGGAAGAAGCCCAACCAGAGGCCTGGTCAGATCCTTGGCTGCAAGTAGCCCACACCCAAGGTCTCATCCCACCAATGCCTCCCAGCCTGAGCACCTGAGGGGGGATGCCCTCTGTGATGTCTGAGTGCTGGAAGCAGTGGGGTCTCACATGGCAGTTCCCACACGTACAGACCTGTGGGAGACTCCTGAGCCCACAGGACTTGGAGAGAGACTGGCAAAGTTGGCTAAAACTTAATGTGTGCCTACTATGCATCAGGCACTGTCCTCAAGGATTGATGCGTGTTTACTCACTGTTTAATAATTCAACCATATATACTGGCATTTAAAACATAGGCACAGCAAAGAATGCATTAAACCATCATTCATTTAGAGGAACAAAGAGGAAAAAATCAGACTAAATCATAAAGTGTCTTTTTAAAAAGTTTTAAGTGACAAGTAAGAATTGTATATATGGATGCCTTGATATAATAGATTATGGAATGGCTAAATAAATCAAGCTTTCTGACATATGCACATTTGATATTGTTATTAGCTGTAGTCAACACGATGTATAGCAGCTCTCTAGAACACAGTTCTCCTCACTAAAACCTTGGGACCTCTGACCAGCATCTGCCCAACCCCATTCCACCTCGCTCATTTGACTCTGCTACTATGAGTTTGACTTTTTTACACTGTACATGTGAGATCATGCAGTAATTGTGTTTCTGTGCCTGGCTGACTTCACTTAATATTATGTCCTCCAGGTTCATCCATGTCATCGCAACCAACAGTATTTCCTTCTTTTGTATGGTTGAAAAGCATTCCCTTTCTTTATCCATTTATCCATTGATGGACACTTGGGTTGATTCCCTGTCTTGGCTATCGTGAATAAGGCTGCAGCGAACACGGGCATGGAGATATCTCTTTGACACCCTAATTTCACTTTCTTTGGATATATACTCAGTAGTGGGATTGCTGGATCATATGATAATTCTTTTTTTAGTTTGTTGAGGAACCGCTGTACTGTTTTCCAAAATGGCTGTATTAATTTTCAATACCAGCAACAGTGTGCAGGGCTTCCTTTTCTCCACATCCTCCTTCTTACCTTTTGTCTTTTTGATCACAGTCATGAGGCAGATATTTCACTGTGGTTTTAATTTGCATTTCCTTGATGATTAGCAATGTTGGGCATGCTTTCATATATCAAAAGAAGACATACCATTTGTCTTCACATTTAGCCATTTTTAATGCTTAAAAGCTCTGCACCAAAAAAAAAGGGGGGGGAAATCACGAATGAACCCTCACAACACCCCTGTGAGGTAGGTAGGCAAGTATTATTCTCTGATTTTACAGATGGGGAGACTGAGGCACTCCGAGTTGTCTGAGTTTCTTACATATTTAAGCTATTAGCCCTTTACCAGATGCATGGTCTGCAAATACTGTCTTGTTCTATAGATGGTCTCTCCCCTCTGCTGGTGTCCCCTTTGTTGTGTTATATTAACTCGCACCGGAGGGGTGAGGTGTGCTGACCAGCAGGAGCTGTTGAAATGTGATTCCGTGCTGTGTGTGCCATTGTTGGATAACCTCCCACAGGCTAGATCAGACCCAGGGGAACTTGGGGACACACACACGGGCACAATCACCTACCCTGTGTTCCCCCATTCAGACCCTCCCCCTCCCAGGCAGAGAGCTACAGAGCTGCCCCCACACACACCCCCGTGTACAACACACGCCTCAGTGTACAACACACCCCCGGGTACAATACACGCCCCAGTGTACACAGCTCCACACTCGCCACATCGAGCACCTCTGGACCTGGGGAAGACAGTATCTACACCCTGCTAGGCTGGACAACAATAACCCGGAGGCCTCTCTCCTAGTCTGGGGAGAACACCAACCCCAGGGGCAGAGAGGGCTCTGGGTTCCACTCTCTCCACTCCCTGCTGACCTCAGAACTACCACCCAGAGGGTCCTGTTCCCCTAATCCAGCCAGAGCCTGAGGAGAGGCCTGGAGTTAGTGCTCTCTCTGCCTCTCCCTCCCCACTGCTCTTTACACACCAGTATCTCAACATGACTGCGCTCCATCAACCAGGGCCTGGTGGGGCCACAGGGGTTAGATGAAAAGTGGAGGCCGAGGTCCACCCTCCTCCATAGGTCCCAAATTCCAATTTGCTCCAGACACTCTCCTACGATATAGCAGTCCTTCGTACTCTAGTGAGAATTAGCTCGTCATGTTGCTTTCTTCAAGGAGGGGCCCAGTATGACAGCCCTGGGTATCCACAGGTAGTAGGCACAACTGGGGACAGGCAGGACAGAGACGCATGTCTGCAAAACCCATCTTCTCCAAGATGGGAAGTGGAACGGGCAAGAGCCCTTGACTCACTCTGCCCACCCACCCTTACCCTGAAAGAGCAGGGACCCCCGTCTATTGTGTCATCTCTGGAGTGTCTGTCTCATGCTGAAGACAAATCAGCAGCTAGATGCACTCATGTTTAGTCATTTTTAATGCTTAAAGCTCTGTACAAAAAAAAAAAAATCATGAATGAATCCTCACAACACCCCTGTGAGGTAGGTAGGTAAGTATTATTCTCCACTTTTACAGATGGGAAAACTGAGACAGAGAGGTGAAGTAATCGGCCAGTGGTCCCAGCACAGCTGAAAGTCAGAGCCAACCATGATCCCCTCCCTCAAAGGATCCTTCCCAGTTCAGCCCTGATCTCTGACTCCTCATCTAGACCTTGTCTGCAAGGAAATTTAAACTTTTTAATACATGCAAAAATAAAAATAAAAAGACCTGGAAAGGTAGTGAAGAGACATACAGTAGTTCTGCAAAAGAATTCAGCCAAGAGGGGCAATGTTTTCCCATCCTGGGTAGATGTGAACAACTTCAGCTGCGTCTTCCCTTTTCAAACATCACGACCGAGGACACGCCCACCTGGCTTTCTGTGGCGTAAGTCCCACCCAAGAGAGGCTTCCCGGGCCCCAACAAGCCAGGGAAGGCAGGCAGCCTCCTCACTGTGCGGCTCCTGGATTTCGGCAAACACCATCCCCAGCCAGAAAAGCTGCAAGGCTCCACTTGAACACAGCAACTCTCTGCTGCCTCTTCTGAGCAGACTTCCTGGGATCCCCGTGGCCTCTAACTCAGCACGGTCTGGCTCTTTCTGCTCCTGTGGGAAGCAGCTCAAAGATCTTAGCAAGGATGGCCCGGAACCCAGCCATCCTCAGCCCACTGTTGCACTGTCCACTGTTCACAAGGGCCAGCCCAGCAGCTGCCCTTGTCCCAACCCTCTTTGGGGCTCCGGCAGCAGCAGGTGGAGCCACTGGGTCATGGTGGGCAAGGGAAGGTACAGGGGGACCCATAGTTCCCTGGCATCCCCTGGCATCCCCCTCCCAGGTCCCCAGTGGAGTGGGCCTCTTCCCCTGAGCTGCCTCCTCCCGAGAGAGACGCCCACCATCCTGCCTGCTCCAGGGGAAGCAGATGGGAAAAGGCAGGAGAGGCAAAGGCCTTGGCCAGCCCCACCAGGCCTGCAGCTTGTCCCTCTTGAAGTCTCTCCGGTTAGAGATGGGGCATCAGAGGCAAGAAAACTGGGAGAAGCAGCCTTTAAAGCACTCAATCCAAACCGCTGCAGGTTACCAGGCCCCGGGGGCAGTGGTCAGGTAGCAAGAAGGGGAGAAGCCATGGGGAGGATGGCAAGAGGCTGCCCAGTGGGTCTGAGCAGAGAGAAGAGACAGAAGATGCGGTGAGCCCTGCTTGGCTACTGGAAGTGTGAGCTCCTTGGAGGCTAGACACCAGTCCATCTGTGCAGTGTACACAGCAGTGCCTCCTTGGAGGCTGGCCACATGTCTCTGTGGTCTGAAAGGTATGGCTGCATGCCGTCTTGATGTCCTATAAAAAGCTCTTTTCAGACAGGTTCCCAGCCTCACCCGAGTTTCTCCAGGAAGGGGGGTGGGGAAGAATAGCTTCCTTAAGGCCAGCTCCCCCACAACACCCAGACACCCCCAGCCTGCATGGAGCCCGTGGGAGGGGGCAGGGAGTGGCCCCCTAGAGCAAATCCCTGTTGGCACAGGGTTCGGGGCTGCAGCTCTGCTCCTGCCACCGGTAGCGCAGCCGCGAGAAGGGCTGGTCCTCCAGGCTCTCCAGCTCGGGGAAGCCCAGCTGGTTGAGGAGCTCATAGACGCCAGCCTTCGATGCCACCTGT